TCGGAGTTTAAGTGCGAACAGTGCGATACACCAGACTCTGATTTCCATGATGCCATGGATGATGCAGCAGGTAAGCTGGACCCAAGGATATTCAAATATATCATAAAACAAAAGGATGATATGATAAATAAACTGAGAAACAAAATTTCAGTTTTGAACAACCATATCGAACTATTAAAAAAACTCATTAATCTAGACATACATCCAGTTGATAAGGTTTCTTTATTGAGTAAAAACGATAATGGAATGCCCACAAGAAAAAAACCTGAGTTGTCTGGTGGGCCACAGCCAGAGTCTAGTAAAGAAATTCCAACAAAAACTAATTAATTCGAATTATAATTCAATTTATTCTGCCAACAGCGCGGTTGCTTTTAAACTTGTTTAATGAAGTAATTTACCATTTGAGTTACTTCTGGCAAAATATATATTAAGGCCACAACAGCACAACCACATATGCCGCTTGGCGTTCAAAACAGCAACTTCACTTTATGAAGTTAACATTGTTAATATTCAGATTTTGTATTGAAGGATTCCGCTCTCCTCGTGTTATATGCGGTTTCGTACCACTATACCACTTTTTGTTCCAGAGAGTACACCCAAAGTGTATTTCGGCTTCAGGAGGGTCGTGATCGACCATTTTCATCTGTAAAAGTTTGTAAAGTGAACAGATGAATGAAAAAAGAAATAATGTCAATAACTGATTTTGTTATAATGTCCATGTTTCATTTTGATAGTCAGAATTGAATTGAGTTTCACAATTAACGGTTCTCTTCAATTCTTAACAACAAGTATTTGTCAGTATTTGTGTTTCTGAAGAACATCGAGAGTACAACATTCCAGAAATAATTCAAAAATCGAAAACGCAATGATTTTTGAAAAGTTTCAAAAATTTTCAAATGAGATTTGGATGAAATTTGTTAAATTTCGCCTACTCATGTAAAAAAAATATTTTCAATCATTTCTTTCCTTCCATCTGAAAATTTGTACAACGACAGTTTAGACAATTATTTCACGTTTCAAAAAAGTCAGCTGGCCTTACCGTGGTAAATTATGCGTCAGCTGCTCACACAAACATGTGAAAAATAATTATCTCCAGTGATTTCCTCTCAGCTAAAAATTTGTCAGACAGTTAATATGCTAGTTTGATTGAATAAAAACGTCAGTTGGCTCTATATTGGTGAAAAGGTCGTCAGTTGATGGTGTGAAAGGTGCGGCGCGGGAGCCAGGTGTGAGCGCTAATCGCCTAATTGAATACGTCAGCTCACGGGTTTTCCACCTTCATATTGCCAGCTGAATTTTTTTATTATTATTGATATCGTATTAATAATCATATGGTAAATTTTCGACCGGGAGAAAATAACTCATCCAGGGTTATTCTCATGGAAATCCATATTCTCGAGAATTGCTTATAACAGTCAGTTAGTTTGGCGCATGTTTGACAATACAGTCGATCATCACCTGTTAAAAATTCCATTTTCAGATGATTTAACAATAAGCTTTGCACGGACTGGTTATTAGTCGTATTAGGAAAAGCTAGATGAAGTTCCAGAAATTCACATAAGTTTTCAGTACTTCTTGAACATTTACCACAAAGTAAACAAGTGAGGATTTTTCCAGCAAAAGATTTACAAACACAAGACGAGATGGGTTGTACGGAATCATTCAGTCCAGAGCGGCTGGGAGTATTGATTTTGCTATTGTTTTGCTCACGAAGAGTATTCAACAAGAACCCCAAGAATTCGGAACAATCCTCTTGTTGTCCTAACGAGTATCTAGTGGACTTCAAANAAAAAAAGCAAATAACACGTCATATTGGTGGGGGGAGGATTAGAACCGGGAAAAAAATTCTGAACGATCCATACACCACACCCTTCAAGGTCACATCACAGTGACTTCACCAAACAACAACCAATAAAAAAGCAATTAATACGTCATAGTGGTGGGGGGAGGCTTAGAACCGGCTCAAATCTCCTACTTATGTCACATTATATGTCAGTATTTTATTCGAAATTTTGAGTTCGTTAACTTCAAGTCTGACAAATGGTTACGTTAACGAAAATGCTTAAAATAACAGTTTTACAAATGATTGCTCACGGAGATAAAACCCGAACACAACAGGAAATAGCTCGCCTATTCCATGAGAAATTACCTAATTTACCATATCTCAAGGAACAATAAGCAAAGTAGATAAGCAGTTTGGCAAGCTTGGTCATGTGGGGCATATAAAAAAGCAGCTGCCAATGCAATGAGTGACGAACTCAAATTAGATTGTGATGCTTGAGTTTGAGGGAAACCTAGACATCTACTACATTCAATGTTAGCCATACATCGATAGTAAACAAATTTAAAGAAAATGAAATGTATCCCTATAAAATGATATCTACGCAGGAGGTCATGAAAGACGATTTTAATAGAGGAACTTATTTTTTTGAGCGAATGATGGATATGTTGGATAACAATATCATCCAATCAGAAGATGTTATGTTTTCTGTTGAGTATACTTTGTCTCTTAAGGGTCATGCTAATCGGAAAAATTGCTGCTACTGGTCAAAGGAAATTCCTCACTGGATTAGAAATCAACACACGCAATACCCTCAAAAGGTTAATGCTTGAGCAGGGATTGTAGGAAACCATATCATTGGTCCCTTTTTCATTGACGACAACTTGAATGGCGATAATTATTTGGCACTGATTCATTCCAAGTTTGGCAAATTCATATCCTGATCCAGGAAATCCCCAAGTTCTAGTGAATACGATATGGTTTCAGCATGATGAAGCACCACTACATCACCAAGTTATTGTCCGGCAATACCTCGATACAAAATTTCCCAATCGGTGTATAGGGAGGCGAGGTTCGATCATTAGATTTTTTTATGGGACTTCACTTGCGTTGACACGGTCGCGGCTTCCCATCTAGTCGAAAGTCTGCTGCAACTGCAGCATTGTCTGGCGAGAAATTGAAAAGAAAAAAATACCAAAATCTTGGAAACAACTATCTGTTTTATCCAGTAGCGGTTGAAACTTTTGGTGTTTATGGCCCGGAGTCTCTGTTATTCNACTGATGATTTTCAAACAAGACTCAACCTCTAACGGAAGCAAGAAACTCTTTGGAAGGTTCGAAACAGATGAACAATTCAACCTAGCAGAGCACTATTATAATATTCATGCAGTTATTGTTCACTGTGGTTCTGGCGTTGAATTTGGTCATTATTACGCCTGGTTTAAGTTTGACGATAGTCGTGTCACGAAGTGTTCTGGCGATGTATTGAATTTATTGGAGCCCCTGGAGACACCCTACTACATTTTGTTTTATAAAAGAGAGGACATTGTTAGATCAAGATCTTCAGATGATGTGGTGCTGTAGGTTTTTCCAGGTTTTCCTGCAGCTGAAAAAGCAAATCAATGAAGTCTCCCCGGAGCGCCAATTAATTTTTATTGTTGTTTTTATTTTATTTTTGTCGTCGTTTTATTAATAAATGTTTTATGAGGATATGTAAAGAACAATGTGTAAAAAACTGAACCTTCAGATTTGATTGACTCAAAAGAACGAATAACACCGGTCGGTGATGCCTGATATGTTGAATAATGTAAGAAGACAGTTTTATTCGAGATTAGGATATTGCCAAGATATTCGCGATGAACATTTTGAACATCAACTTCGTTAACATCCATGATTCTTTCTCGTATTCTATATTTCATTACGTTTTACATTACATTTTAGTTTTCAATTGTATTTTAAGGAATTTCGGTAACCACATAATTTTAAATGATTTTATGTTAATTGTTGCATTGTTAATTGTTATTGTTGAATAGAGAATGGAGAGACATTTCAAACGATATATAACAAACCTATACTTCCCATTTGAAAAATAGGGGGTTGTACCTGTCATTCGAAGGAGGTTCAAGGTCGGGGTGGGACTTTTACGTTAAAACATGTCAAATTATAATTTACGTTTGATGTATTTCGTTTTTATTATATATATGTACAGTAACCGAAATAATGAATTCATTCCATTTGGNGCACTGTATTTGATAAAACAGTTTATGAAACTTATGATTTTCTAATTAAAAAATATTGGTTTCTGGAATAACTGATTTTTGATTTTACAATTCAAATTTTACCACCTTGGTAACAATGTTACCTCACTCTAGTTGAAGTTTTGTTCGATAGTTGTCTCTAATCAGGAAGTTTTGAAATGAAGGCATTCTATACAAAACTGAGGGAGAAACTCAGAAATATTATTAATACTAGAACAGGACAGTTTGGTTCAGCAGTACATTTGTGGCTCAGTCTAGCATCACTGATGAGACCTACGGCGGGTCAAAACCGTACTGTCTGGTGTTGGTTCTCAAATACGGTTGCTTTTGGGCTATAGTTCCAAATATCATTACGAAGATAGAACAGATTCTTGTGGCATTCCATTTTTAATTGTGACCTAATATGAACAGTCTAAACGATGAGGAGTGAGTATAGTCCTTTCTCGTATGTTTGCAGATTTGCCAGGAGAATGAAATTGTGTGGTTATCACAACTGAGGTATCTTAGGGGTTGATGAATATATCCGAAACAACCCGTGACTTCTCAAATGTTGGCTGTTCTGTTCGGTGAAGTCGTGCTGATATTCTTACAGCAGTTTATCACATGCAAGGGAAGCCGCAAGCCTCATGTAATTTAGGAAATCCCGATAACAAGGTAATTTTTCGATAATTTTTCAATATATTTTCATTTGCTTTCACATAAAGTGGTACCCTATTGATTACAATTACAAATAGTTATGTGAATAAGAGGTTCAAGAAACGATTCATTTCCGTAGAATATTTGATATTCGCAATTATCACAAGAATGTATCCGGTAATATTGCTTTGAGTTACTGGCATGAGAAACATAAAGAAAATTCCTTCAATAAAACTTGTAACAAATCACGATTAACATCACTTGTGTGCATCAGTAATAGAATTTCTGGCATTAATAAAAATTATTAACATGTATATTTCACTCACTTTCAGTGTATCCTTCTGTTCTTGAGGTTCCGTCCCTGCATTTTCGGCGTTATCACTGGTGGATATGTCCGACGCCAAATCACAAGTTACTGTTGGGATAGCGATGGGCTTGGGGTGGGCTTCGATCGTGGCGATCTGTCTTTCGCCGTCCCGCGGCGATGTGTTACTATTTCTATCCACCATCGATCCCCCTGCGGGAGTATCTCCTCCACTGCCATTTTTTGCTACCTGTTGGAAAAAGCGAGTTTTATTAAAAAATCAAAAACAAAAGCAAGGCGTCACTGTCCAGAAATCATACAGCTTCAATTCGATTCCTATTCAACCTACAATCCAGCACTATTACAAGAAAATACAAAAAAGTTCCAAATGGGAAGATACTGTATACCCAAGAAATACAACATTTGTTTGAAAGTGATTGACAATGTTTCATGGTGGATTTTACCAGTTCGGACTTCCATTGTCTAATATGATTCTGATATGACTTGAAATCTATGAAAGAACAAATAAAATAGAAATGAGTAGCTCAAATATCAATTATATTAAGTAATGGAACGTGAAATGGAATTGAGATGAAACGAATGAAATAATCAAGATAAAAGATGATGATGACCACAGAGTAAAAAGAAATAAAAATAAAAAACCAAAAAAGAAAATGAAAAATAAAAAAGATTTCAAACCAAGTTACTTCAAGACGTTTCGATTGTTAGTATTCACAATCGTCTTCTGGTGATGATGAGATTATTCCTTTGAAAGATGACTACCGGTCATTCGAATGCTTTCACCTACCCCTTCTTCTCCCTCTCCGCTTCAGGGGTTTAGCGGGACTTTACCGTTTTTCCGATTGTTTAGAGGTTTCTCTATGTTGCGTATATCTACGCTACCCTGACTGAATGCTTCATTAGACAACATATATGCAGCTTCTTAGAACTTCCTCCTAAACCAGTGTTCCTGGTCTCAGCTTGGGACCACTTGATGTTATGTTGATGAGTCCAAACATGCTCTGATATTCCCAATTCGCTGGTTCATCGTCCCTGATGTTTCTCTTGTGTTCGGCAACGCGGAATTTCATTGGCCCCTCAGTTTCACCGATATAGGATTTGCCGCACTCACAGAGTATCCGGTAAATGCAATTCTTGAAATCGCAGTTTGGTAAGGAAGGGAAGGACAAGCACTGGTTGTGACTGCCGGCTTCTCTTCCTTGTGAGCCTCTTGCTATCTTCCAGCCAAAGTCTGTTCCACCATCACTTTAAAGTAACCACTCCGTTGGAGATCTTTTTTGATGATGCCTAGTTCTTTCACGATACCTTTCTTCGATTTACAGAGTTCGAAAGCATGACTCACTGGAGTCTTGATAATTCTTCTTTTGGTGGATTGATTATGGTTGAATTCGTAATCCAGTTAATGTTCCTTGTGAGTGGGTTTTCGGTATAAAGTTGTTTCCCACTTCGTGTTGGTCCTCTTCACCGATACGTCTAGGAACATGAATCCGATGTGGACTTCCTTCTTCATTGGGTTCATTTATATTTTTATTTCTTTGTACTCTGTGGTCATTTTCATCTTGAATATTCAATTGTTTTGTGTTTTATTATAATTTCTTTCCACGTTTTATTGCTTAATATAATTGATATTGGAGCAATTCATTTTAATTTCATTTGTTTTTTCATAGATTTCAAATTATATCAGACAAAAGGAGTACGAACTGGTAAAATTCACAAAGGAAATACAACAGCGTCATCATTCATTTGACCAAGCAAGTGTTTCAACCCAACTAGTTCATATTTCATCTTGGCATATTGTGATTTCGGCATATTGTTTTTCAAAACGTGTATTTGAATAACTCAAATATAATTACTGGTACAGTTGGTAGGATTTCTGAAATGTAAAATTTCCGAGGTGAAATAAAAGAATAATGGAAGCAGAGAATTCCTGTGGTGATCCCCAAATCTCCAAGAAGTAAACCAGACGTATCCAAAAGTTACGCCTGGACAATTGATGTAGTGTAGCACCAATTTTTTTCATTGAGAAATGAGTCGTTATACGAAATAATACGATTCTTCATTGTCCGGAACTACGGCTTGGGATTTATGCAGATTCAATTCACTAAAATATCACATACCCAAGAGAGTAAACAATACATATGTCACATATCATTTCACTTCCCCTTCCATCTGGGGAAGGAAGGGATAGCAGATTTAATATATTCAATAATGAGCATTGATGTGATAACTTATTTTAATTTCAAAGTTGGGCAGTTTCGATAGGCTTTGAATATGTTATATAATTAAATGTTCTCATTCCACATAATTTTAGTTTCGATTCAGCTTGTTCAACAGTATTGAATTATTTGGAAGCTATAATTATTTTGCTTGTATGTGTTTGAACATTTTTTTTTCGCAATGTTACAGGATCAGATTTCCAGTGTATCCAAAATTTTGAAATCAATGAGACAAAAATAGTTTAAAAAAAACTGCATTTGATTTCGGAAATACTGATAATTAACAGAACCAAACTAATTGAAGAGAGAAACTCTGCAGACGGTATACAAACTACTCTGTTGAGGTGATTATTTTGATAATTATATGCCTTCTTTACTCCCTTATTTCTCAAGATCATGCCAGATTGCCGTATTCAATCAGAAATCTTGATCGGAAAGATGCAGAAGGTTGTCATTCTTGGCTCAGGGCACAGGATTATCGGACCCAATGATTGGTCACCTCGCCGTGTGGAAAGGTAATTAGTGATGTGGATGCGCCTTCCATATGTGTGGGACCGTCGAAGATAGAGCCCCCAAGCTTTGAATTATCTAGATGCCAGCCTGTTAAGTCATCAGGAATTCAAATCTCGTTCTCTGCCATGGGAGAGCACATATTTGAGCATATCTTCTACTGACATTTGCCCAAGCTCCGATATACTTGGTTTAGTTAACGACACTGAACGAGGCAATCACAACATTGTCATCGAGCTGAAAACCCGTTGTGCAATAGCCGCAGAGAGCACTTTACTTCTGCGGCTGCACAAGAATGAGCCGATGCATGGGTCTTCTTCAACAACATTGAAAACCACGGCTCAACAAAGCCGGCGCGGCGAGTCTCTTGAATATATCGGGGCTTTGGAGACAGGGTCCAACTGGTACAACGTCTTAGAAAAACTATTCATAACCATAATGATGATAATAAGGGTGATAATATATTCAGAATTTTTGTCAAAAATGATGTAGAAATGTCAACATGATCACAGAAATGAAGTCAATTCATAAATGTGACCTTTAGAAGAAAAAATACTTCCTAATAAAAAATATAACATTGATGAAGACATATAATTGTAACACAACATGATGCTGATGGATAAGAGGATATTCAGGAGAGAAAAATTCTCGCCAGGGGACGCCTGGCATCTGTGAAACAATTGATTAATTCAAAAATATTATGTGCTATAAAAAAGATTACTGCACAATTTGATAAATTATAAAATATAATTCACTAAATATTCTGGCAATATCTTGAGTTCATTGGAGCCTCTTGAGAAACCCTACATTTCATTTATTTTATGAAAGAAAGGCATATCAAGGTCTTCAGATGATGCGGTGCTGCAGGTTTTTTCGGGTTTTCCTGCAGCTGAGGAAGCAAGTCAATTCGGAGCGCCTATTAATTTTTGTTGTTGTTGTTTCATACTTTCATAATTTGTATTACTTTCAATAAAACTGTTTGTATCAATAAAAAAAGACATCGTACTAACTGATGACTTGATAGTGTGTCGTAGGGTGATTTTGCTTTCTTTGCAGGAGCATGCTCACTTTCTGAATCATCAGAAATTATTTAAAAAATATTCTTTTAGTTAAACACAGGCTATGTATATTATAGTAAACACAACTTTATACACTATAGGTATCCGATCTCAGTGTGGCAAAAGAGAGCGTAATGCTGAACCATGAGGAAAAGAATCACACAGTTGCTTGCGCATGACGACTCGTCGCCACGACATGCGTCGTCATGCCAGCAACTGGTTTTTCGTGCGGCTATAATTGTTTTACATCAAAAAGAATTTTCAATGAACATGATTCCATTTCAAATGTATGTAATGACTTTCATGTAAGCAGGCAAGTGATTATAAATTGTATAAATACTGCAGTGCAGCCATCCAGTGACTTAACAATGGCCTTACACTTTTTGATTTTCCATAACTGAATTCAGAAAAGGGAACTACAGTGAATATACAAAGCATGAGGAAATGACTCTTGATTAAATGCTTGAACTTTCTCAGAGAAATATTCAATTATATCAGCGCCATCATAGCGTTCCTTGACGAGTTTGGTTCATTTGAAAAACCGAGGAGAAAATACGGTGACACAATGAACCAGGAAACTAAAGAAAATGTATATCCTTTTCAATAAAAATTAATAATTTGCAGATTAATATGAACCCGGAGAAATTTACACGTCCTTCTAAATCAATATTTGTCAGACACGTGCTTGGAGACATCTCAAAAAAGCGGATTGAAATGTTACAAAATACACACATCTCAAAAGTTGCATCAAGGTGAATCTTAAAGGTGATTAGAATTTTATGATTGGCTGATTAGAAGACCTCATTTTTCTGTTTTCCTGGAAAATGTAATTTGGACAGATGAAAGCACTTTTACGGATTGTGGGATATTCAACTGAAATAACGAACACATTTGGAGCATATACAACCACAGAGAGTTCCGAGAAATCTGTTTTTCCGTTAACCAGATTATTTATTTGACAGAATTCCGAATGGATAAACCTGTCACGAGTTTCTAATGTCGATTTTCAGAGACACTTTGGATGAACTACCTTTGGCTAACTATAACAACATCTGGTTTCAACATGATGGTGTTCTACCGTACACTACCAGACGAGTATCTAGTTAGGTACCTGACTGAAAAGTTAGGTGATAAATGGATAGGAAATGATAGGCCGGGGAGGTGGCCAGCAAGGTCTCCAGACTTGAGTATTATGGATACATTCTTTTGGGGTACACTGAAAAATAGAGTTTATGGTCAGATGAAATATCAAAATACTGAGGACCTTCAACACAGTTATATTATCATGAACAATGCCAGCATTTTGAGCATTTTCTGTAATTTTTTTTGGTTTTACATTTTTGTTAATTATTGTTATCTGTTCAGAGTTCTATTTTTTATTGAAAAGGATACAATGTCTAACTTACCTCACACACACCTCATTTATCAAATTTTGATTGTTGCTT